AACCAAAAAATCCCATAGGACTATATAACACAAAGAGTGAACCCTAATGTAAACTGTGGACTTTAGTTAGTAATAATGTGTCAATATTGGTTCATGAGTTGTAGCAAGTATACTACACTGTGCAAAGTGTTAGTAATTGGGGAAAACCATGTTTTGTAGCGAGGACAAGAGGCTGGGCAAGGACCATTATGAGAGCTCTGTACTTTCTGCTCAATTTTTATGTAAACCTGAAACTGCTCTAACAAAAATAAAGGCTACTGTGAAAAACAAAACAAAAGACAGCATCCTTTTAGCCATGAGATGTACTACAAGTACAAAGTTTTCTAGGAATTTCATATCATATCTTTAAAAATTACATGAACTTTTCATTCCATTCCTTAACACATAGATGGCTATTTTGACATTAAAATTTTCCCCCCAAATTTCCACAATATAATACATAACCCCTAGATATATGATTCTTGTATTAAGTAGCATGGCTTTGGCTGGGCACAGTGGCTCACGCCTATATTCCTAGCAGTTTGGGAGGCTGAGCCAGGAGGATCACTTGAGCCCAGGAGTTTGAGACCAGCCTGGGCAACTTAGTGAGATGTCGTTTCTTTAAAAGAGAGAGAGAGAGACGTGGAGAGAAAAGAGAGAAGCATGGCTTTGATTGATAGGGAGTCATTGAAGTTGTGTGTTAAAAATGAAACAAAACAAAATTAAACCAATAAAATCATGAGCAACAAATTTCTCTCACACTCCAGATATTTTTGCATCCTTATTTTCATTTCCCAGTGTTTATACAGAACATATTCACTATCTTTAACTCACTTCTTCAGCCTTTATTCTGTATGCAGAAAACTTTGCAATAGCATAGTGAGAAATAGGTAATAAACCCACCTTTGTGGATATTAACAATGTAGGCAAGGGAAATATAGTTTAATATGAAAATAAGTTATACTAAGAAAAGTAGATACAGAAATGAAAATTAAGCCTACCAATGAGACAGACAAAGAAAATGGAATGACCTGGGTTAGATAGGTTTGGATGAACTTTGAAACAGAAGACACAGTTGGATGGGTGCCCCATCTTTAGGAGCAGACTTTTTTCTGGATGTCACTGAGACCTAGAATGACCTTTAACTATCACCAGTACACATTACCCTTTTTGGTGTGCAGTATTGACACTGAAACACAGATAACTTAAGGTTGTTTGGATACTTATTTATGTAGCTAGACATGTGAACCCATACGGTGCCTAATTAGGCCTCTTGAACCACAGACGCACATTCACAGAACTACCCTTGTTTATATTTTCAAGGCATCTTATCTTGTGAAGATCACAGCTGATACCTTCAATCTCATATAAAAGTTTGCCTTTGGAGTGAATTTCTTAGCAATCCGCTTGCTAAGAAAAAGCAAGTGATGTTAAAGTGAGGGCATTACAATAAAATAGCTCCAAAAAATGAAAAATAAATAAAAGGAAAGAAAAAGGAAAAGCAAGAGGCCCATTCACAGATACACAGAGGAGAGTGGCCCCTCCTCTATAAGCCTTTTTCATCAGTGAGAGAATCAAGAGAATTCTGTATATACAGAAGAGGGTTTCAGGGTCAGTCTTGAGTTTGAATTTTCTGCTTCCTAGCTGGAGAACCTTGGGCAAGTCACTTTACTTCTTTGGTCCTAGCTTGCTTATCTTTGAAGTGGGAATTTCAGATTATGCAGAAGAAAAGGCAGGCAGTATCAGGCATATGGTAAGTGCTTGATCAATACCAGTTTGCTTCCCTCTTTCCCTGCTCCTTCTGCTAAAACTTCACAGCCATCTCATTAAGTCATCAGTGTATTTAGTATTTAATAAATATTTAATGAGCACCTACTATGAGTCAAGTCCTTTGTTAGCCAGTGGAAAGATACGCCTGTGATTTGAGGAGCCCTCGAGTTGATGAACAGCTCATCTCTGTCACCAGTGTGATCAGTCCTAAATTCACACAGCTCTCCACTGGTGTTTTTGACCACAGAGTTAACATTTAAGATATTTATGCACTTTGGGAGGCTGAGGCGGGTGATTCACGAGGTCAAGAGATCGAGACCATCCTGGTCAACATGGTGAAACCCCGTCTCTACTAAAAATACAAAAAATTAGCTGGGCATGGTGGCGCGTGCCTGTAATCCCAGCTACTCAGGAGGCTGAGGCAGGAGAATTGCCTGAACCCAGAAGGCGGAGGTTGCAGTGAGCTGAGATCGTGCCATTGCACTCCAGCCTGGGTAAGAAGAGCGAAACTCCATCTCAAAAAAAAAAAAAAAATATATATATATATATATATATATATATTTATATATATATATATTTATATATATTTATTTATATATATTTATTTATATATATATTTATGACTGCTTTTTTGGCACCACTTTGAATAACGAACTGGTTTCAGGTAAACAGAGTCCAGGTACCTGTTGCAGAAAGATTGCCAGTCTACACACTTGGTGGTTCACAAGTTCACATTAAGTACTTGGCACCCAAAGAGTTTTGTTGCACTTACTGTGACAATAAATCATGTTTAGAAGAAAATGCATGTGGTATACATTATATTGGGCAGATGATTCATGATGCTCACTATTCTGTGGCTTTAGAATCCATATAAGTATTTTTCTTTTGTCTTTTATGTGTTTTCTTGTTTCTCTGTTTTGTTTTGTTTTTGTTTGGGGTAGTTTAAAATTAATGCTGGGCTAGAGTCTGATTTTGTTACTCTCAGGTATGACCAAATGTTTCCACATATCTCTCTAACTTTTCTATTTTCAATGTGGGGCATACTTTCTCCTCTTTAAGAAAAGGCGCATCCACAGAAAAGATAATTATTTGAGCAATTTTTCATAACACAGAAGTAATAATTGAATAATTTTTTCCTTTAAAATTTTTTTATTTTTGTATTACTTTAAGAACAAAATTATTTTAGGATTTAATTAAAGAATTAAAAGAAGTTGATTTACCTAAATTTAACTTGCCAACTTTTCTGTTACACAAAAGCATTGTAAATACAAATAGAATAGCAAAAATTTCATCCTAAAGAGAAAACTATTTGGGGCTTCTACTTTCAAGAGAGCAAAATTGTGCTGGACCCCTTTGCACACTTTAAAAACAATCATTAACAGATTGCATCAAACTAGAAACTTCTTCACAGTAAAGGAAATAATTAACAAAGTGAAAAAGACAGCCTACAGCATGGGGAAAATATTTGCAAGTCATACACCTGATATGGTGTTAATATTCTTAAATGTATAAGAAACTCAGTGAACTTGATCGCAAGAAAACATAACCCAGTTAAAAAATGATAAAGGACCTGAATATTCATTTCTAGAAAGAAGACATACAAGTGGCTAACAGATATATGAAAAGGTATCCACCATCACTAATGATCAGGGAAATGCAAATCAAAACCACAGTGAGATATCTCACACATGTTAGAATGGCTGTTATCAAAAACACAAAAGATAAGAAGTGTTGGCAAGGATGTGAATAAGAGGGAACCTTTGTATACTGTTGGTGGGAATGTAAATTGATAGAGTCATTATGGAAAACAGAATGGACTGCCTCAAAAAATTAAAAATAGAACCACCATATGATGCAGCAATCCTACACTTTTGGGTATATATCCAAGTGAAATGGAATCAGTATGTTGAAGAGCTATCTGCTCTCCCATGTTTACTGCAGCATTATTCTCAATAGCCAAGATATGAAATCAACCTAAGTGTCATGGATGAATGGATTTTTGAAAACACAGAATATATATGTGTATATATAATATATATACACACATACACATATACACAGATACATATGTACACACACACACAATAGAATATTCTTCAACCTTAATAAAAGAAGGAAATCCTGTCATTTGTGACACCAGAGATGAACCTAGAGGACACTGTGCTAAGAGAAGTAAACTGGGTGGTACTTGACACAGAAAGACAAATACCACATGATCTCACTTAGGCATGGAATCTAAAAACGTCAAACTCATGCAAGTAGAGAGTAAAATGGTGGTTGCCAGGGGCTTGAGAGTGATTGCATAGGGAGATGTCAGCCAGAGTTTCAGTTACGCAGCATGAGTTCTGGAGACCTAAGTGTAGGTCACCTTCAGCATGGTGACTATAGTTAGTGATGCCGTATGGTATATCTGAAATTTGCTAAGACAGTAGATCTTAAGTGTTCTCACTACACATATTCATACTTTAAAAGGTATGTGAAGTGATGAGTATGGTCATTAGCTTGATGATGGTAATCATTTCACAGTAAATACATACATTAAAACATCACATTGTATACCTTGTTTTTTTGTTTTGTTTTGTTTTTGAATGGAGTCTTGCTCAGTTGCCTGGGCTGGAGTGCAGTGGTGTGATGTTGGCTCACTGCAACCTCCACCTCCTGGGTTCAAGCCATTCTCCTGCCTCAGCCTCCCAAGTGGCTGAGATTATAGGCACATGCTACCACACCCAGCCAATTTTTCTATTTTTAGTAAAGACAAGGTTTCGCCATGTTGGCCAGCCTGGTTTCAAACTCCTGACCTCAGGTGATACTCCTTCCTTGGCCTCCTAAAGTGCTGGGATTACAGGTGGGCCACCGTGCCTGGCCTGTGTGCCTTAAGTTTAAAAATTTTTGTCTATTATACTTAAATAAAGCTGGAAAAAATTTTAAATAACAGCAGTCATTAACAGACTCAATTGATGACCTTCTGTAGAAGATAATGAGAGCAGAACTGTTAGCAAGACACTTATATGAATATACTATATGTGTCTGCACTGTTTCAGGATTCTCTACTCTGATAGGTAAAGGATGACTTCCTTCCTATCATAAAACAGCCTGAGCAGCACTGAGAAGATGGTTATGTTCTTTTCTCGTTTTAAGAGCCTAGAAGAGATTACTTCGCCAAAGACTCTTTCATTTCCCTTTCTGGAACTCTGTGACATTGCTCTGTTCTCCAGGACTTAACTTCATGGCTGGTCTATTTTTCCTTTCAGAAATTACCATGGTTGACACAGAGATGCCATTCTGGCCCACCAACTTTGGGATCAGCTCCGTGGATCTCTCCGTAATGGACGACCACTCCCACTCCTTTGACATCAAGCCCTTCACTACTGTTGACTTCTCCAGCATTTCTACTCCACACTATGAAGACATTCCATTCACAAGAACAGATCCGATGGTTGCAGATTATAAGTATGACCTGAAACTTCAAGAGTACCAAAGTATGTTTATTTTCATTTTTCAGACTCCTAAGACTGGAATTGGACTAATCTCTCAGTAACCCTGTAATACTCCAGAGACTAGAACACTAATAGAGAAGGCATTCATCATTGATTTATTCACCCATTTATCCATCAAACATTAGGTATCTATGAAATGCCAGAAAGGAAGCTGGCGCCAGACCAATCTTGCCTTTCCCCCACTCTATCCTTCCTCTCTTCTTTCCTGTCTTGCTTACTTCCTTCTTAGGGACATTTTCTACCTTGATTACACTGCCATTTGTATCTCTGGCTAAGAGTCCATCATCCACGCTTTGAATTCTTTTGGCCTTTGTAAGTTAATAAGTAACAGTTCCAGGTCACCTGATATTTATTATATAACTTATCTTCACTAAATTACTGCTACTACAGTACATTTTTTTCTAATTTGTCCTTTCAGAATTTTATACTGAAACCTACTTTTGAGCACAAATTTGTCTTAACATTGTAGTCTATTGATAAATTTTCATGCCATTAACTAAATTAACATCAAAACATCAGATGCAAGAAAAACAAGAGCTGCACTTTTTGAGATAAAATGTATTTCTGTGATGCTGTTTCTTTGATTTTTATCATGTGTGGGCTGACATGCTGGTTTTCCAGAGCCACCACTATGTAACTGGCAACCATTACTTGACAATAAGTAAGAACTTCCTGTATTTCTGGTGGTTTTTAAGATAAATAATATGCTTAGTTATATTTATCTGTGTGGTTTTTAGTTAGAGCCTAATATGGAAATTTAATAGCCATGGGCCTAACTAGTAAAAGGTAGGCCGGACTTCCATTAAGTTCCCCCACCCTCTGTCAAAGATTATTTCACAAACCACGTCTTTTGACTGAACACTGATGGTAACCTGGGCTCTTATTTTTCTTGCACCTTGAAGCTAGGCATTCACAGCAGTGTTCCTTTTGTGGTTCTTTTGCAAGCACTGTTCCAAAGTACTTCTAAAATTTAATATTTAAATAAAATGTATAATTTAATATTGTGATGAATACCGAAGACAGAACATTTGCTAGCAAAATAAGCTTCCTTGTCTCAAAGCCTCTCTGTTGTCTGTTAAAGCTGTAGTATTGCAGGGTACTGGGGGTCATAGAACCACAGACTTAATTCCCGTTCCCATTTTAAATTTACAGGTGAGGCTTAGCGATGTTGTAACTTGACTGTGATTACACAGCCTTCTTTTTCTTGCCTTAACTCTAGTGTTTTTTTCATGTCCCATTGTGCTTTTATACTGAAACAATACAAATACAGCATGAAGGTGTACTATGGTGGCTTGCCCTTTTGCCTTTTTAGGACTGTTTTCATGGGATAATTATCCTCTCACGTTTCTATACACAGGTGCAATCAAAGTGGAGCCCGCATCTCCACCTTATTATTCTGAGAAGACTCAGCTCTACAGTAAGCCTCATGAAGAGGCTTCCAACTCCCTCATGGCAATCGAATGTCGTGTCTGTGGAGATAAAGCTTCTGGGTTCCACTACGGAGTTCATGCTTGTGAAGGATGCAAGGTAATTTAAAAAAAAAAAAAATCTTTCTTCAAAGAAATCGTTGAAACCTTATTATTTCATTTGAGCAGAACCCTTTCTTTAGGTGATAAAAAATATGAATTTTTTCTTCTTAGAAAAGTGTCTTGTTCTGTCACCCAGACTGGAGTACAGTGGTACAATCAGAGCACACTGCAGCATTGAGCTCCAGGGCTAAAGTGATCCTCCCACCTCAGCCTCCCAAAGGATGATGTAATATTTGAGAGCCTAAGAAAGTGGATAAAAGCAGGGCTGCTTTACCCCACATTCCTTTCTCCAAATTGATTCTTTGAGACACTGATTTAATTTAACCCTTGCATCTTGCAGATTTTTACAAAGAGTGACTTCTCCAAGGTGTCGTGGGAAGACAGTGATGATTTGGCACCAGGATGCAGATTTCCTGCATTCCCTAGTTGTTTGTTTATTTTTTTGCTGTGCCATGTAATATTGTGTATACACAAGATTTTACAGATTATTTGTATATACATATCTTTGGATCCCTAGAGCAATCCTATAAGGTTGGGCTTCTTTATGGCCACATTACAGATGTAGAAATTATGAGTTTGTAAGACTTGCCAAGGCCATCCCTTAGTCAACGGCAGCCCTCAGTCTAGACTCTGACTCCTTAGGTGGTATTTGGTCTCAAAGCAGTGTCTCACGTTTCCTTATTCCAGCATCAGTGTGAGCCACATACATGGACAGGCAAGGAGGTATAACAGTGTGGGAAAGGAGATACTATTTCTCCTCACCTCTTTCCTTTGCGAAAGGGTATTTTGAAAAATTCGGACGTTTAGTAATATATTGCTTAATCATTAAGAAAATATGTGAATCCACATATATTTTGATATGCAGTCTTTTAAGATATTTTTAGTATATGCAATGAAAAAATAGTACTAATTTTATATTCCTTGCACATAATAAACTGTTCATAAATATTTACCTTGTAAAATAAGCGTCTGCTTAGGCTTTTTATTCAACATAAAGATACAGAACAACAGTTGGGAAAGAGTTAGGACATCTTGGCTCCTAAATGGATGATGGGTTGAAAAAAAAACTGATTTTTATTGAATTCTTACTACATGTCAGGTACTGTGTGAGGTAACGTTTTCATACATCAGTGTTTAACCACATCCTACCCAGGTTTCTCATCTATAAAATGATTGTGGCTGGGTGTGGTGGTTCACACCTATAATCCCAATACTTTGGGAGGCCAAGACAGGAGGATCTCTTGAGCCCAGGGATTCAAGATCAGTCTGGGCAGCATAGCGAGATACCATCCCTACAAAATTTTTAAAAATTAGCCAGACACGGTGGCATATACCTGTAGTCCCACCTTCTCAGGAGATTTAGGTAAGAGGATCACTTGACCCCCGCAAGACTGCAGTGAGCTATGATTGCACCACTGCACTCCAGCCTGGGTCACGAAAGCAAGACCCTAACTCCAAAGAAATAATAAAATGATCACACTGAATTAGATGATCTTAAAGTCCCTTCAATTCAAACAGTTTTTACTCTAAAGGTAACCTAATATAATGAAAAGGAACAAATCAGAGGTCAGCTTTCCAAAGTCACTAGCCAGTCACATACACACTGTAGCCCTCAGGCCCCCCATGTGTAAAATGACTCGGTTAGATTGACTACCCAAGGTCTTATTCATCTCTAAGATCTGTAATTTCAAAATGACACTTTGAAATACTCCTGGCAAGAGATACTTTCATTGAAAACACTAAAACCCATTCATTCTGTAATTTAAACCAAACTAAAATATTTATGACCTTATATGAAATCATAAGTTAATTATCTAAGATCTTGATGAGTAGTAAGAACATGTCATTTTATTGAGTTAGATTTTTTATTGAGTGTTTTTGCAGTTTTATTGTTAGATTTAGTGAGTTAGAGTTTATTTTTACTGATTTAGGTACCATTTTTGAGTGAGTAAATTGTTGCTAAATTCTGAGCCATATTTATGTGAAGAAACCATTCTGTTTGGGTCGTGTTGATAATTTACAACTACAAACAAATAAAAACAGCATGATTGGTTTAGGTTTCCACAATAAGTTATTGTTTTTTATGGGCTAGCAAAGCACTTAGAAAACTAAAACCTTTAAGCAAATAGTTCCGCCATAATCCTATTAGTCACAAATTCGTGGAAAGCTCACATTATTGAGAACAGCTGAAAATGGAAAGACAGGAACATCGTCAGTAGTTGGTTATACGGATAAATCTAAGTTCTGAGGGCACTAAAACTTAGAAGCAAGCAGGGAAGAAGAGTAGCAAAAAGAGAAATGAGAAGAGGAAATTCAAGTGCCTTCAAGTTAGGATTAGAAAGGGTAGAGAAGGCAGAGAGGAAGGAAAAACACTTAATGAAACTGGAAGACTCTAGGGGAGTTCTTAACCTAACATAGATTAAATAACAAGTGAAGAAAACTAAGATCATTGTGTACTAACCTGCAGTAATTCGCAAACCATCCAAACTGTGGATTCCAGAATTCCTAGAGTAAAATATAAAGAAAGTTTTACTCACTTGGGAAGGGAAAATAGACATTTACACATTTTAAAGGTAAGAATAAGGAAAACATTATTCTTGGAAAATGTGAACATTTAGTAATATACTACTTAATATTTTAAAAATGTGAATCCACTTATCTTTTCATATGTAGTCTTTTAAAATTATTTTAATATGCTCAATGATTAAAATAGTATTTAATTTATTATATACTCATTGCAAAGAATAAATTGTTCATAAATATTTACATTATAAAATAAACCCTGCCTTGGTTGGGGTTTTTATTTGGTGTAAAGATAAAGAACAGCAGTTAGGAAAGAGTTAGAACATTTTGGTTCCTAAATAGATGATGGGTTGAAAAAAGAAACTTCTTTTTTGAATTCTTATTCTGATTTTTATTGAATTCTTACTATGTACCAGATATTGTATGAGGTACATATATATGCATCATTATTTAACCACATCCTATTCAGGTTTTCTCATCTATAAAATGATTCAGAAGATATTGGTAGGATGTGGTTACATAATGAAACACATTGGCTTCTTCTAGTATACATCAGCAGTTCCCAAAGTGTGGTCTGGGGCTCGGGCCCTTTCAAGGCGTCCATGAAGTTGAAACTATATTCATAATAATGATTTTTATTACCATTTTCACTCTCATTTTGCTTATGTAGAGTGTTCTGTAAGCTACATGATGTAGGATGATGACATAACTCTGGTGGCTAATGGAATGTTTGCTTATATGTTCTTGTATATAATAATTTCTCAGTTGTACTTTTTAGTGTGATAAATGTCAGTAATGATAGCCCACATAAACAAAAGCTCTTTGGGGTCTTCTCTACTTTTAAAAAGAGTAAAGGGATCTTGCAGCCATAAAGCCTTCAGCCTCATTCTGAAGAAATGCAATTACTTACTAGTTGCTACTTAGGAACTAAACAAAATTGCTGCCACATTCCGAATACTGCTGCATTAGACCAGTGGCTGTCATTAATCAAAAACATCTCCTTAGCTTATCACCAATACACAACAAAAAGCCAGGAAAATGGAATTAGCAAATGTGTTTAACTCATCTGCAGGTATTTTCTGAGAGATTTTTTTGGCAGCTTCACATTTGCTGTTGCAGTAGAATGTGGGTTATATTCGTAATTAAAATACAGTTGACCACAAAGCTGCAAGCTAATTTATGGATGGAAAAGAATAGTGAAACACAGCATAAAACAACTGTTGGTAGGTCTTCTTAAACAGTTTTACAGTGTAAATGGAACAGGTTTATATTAGTGATTCTTGCCAAAATTTTGTCAGACAGATGGGAATGAATAGATTAGGCTTGAATTAAGGTGAAATAGTGATAGATTCTTGGTTGTGTTAATATTGCAAACTTATCTAAAATAAAACCGTTAGCAACTGAAAGATACGTATACTTTAGAGCTTGGAAAGCTATCATTTATTTGTTGTTTACATGTTGGACACATTTTTTTTCTTTAGTAAGTTCCATCCTATTTTTTATCTTTAGTGAAAGATCATTTTAGAACCATAGGCATACCTAAAGATATAAGTAAATACAATCTACCACATAATACGATGTAATCTATGTTTGTGTTTCTGTATACAAAAGAATGCCGTATGCTTGTTAGCCACTTGTATGTCTACTTCAGAAAGAGTTTTAATTCAGACCACTTTTTGGGAAAGCCAAGTGCAAGCCCCACACAGGGCTGTTAATCTCATTGTAAAAATCAACACCATTCTAAGGTCTCATTGTCCCTGATGTTTTGTTAAAACTAAAGCAATTAAGGAGAGGCCAGAGAAAAGTTTTCAAATGATTGAAAAATACAAATCACCTTCTAACAGACAAGTGTGCAGACATTAGAATAAATAATATATACACAAAACAGTTTTCTGAAATGGTGACTGATGCATCTCCAACATACTATGTCACACAGACTTCATGATCATCAGAAGAGTAAATTTTTGAAAATACATTGTTCTGTGGACTCTGAGATAATAAAGAAGAGTGTTGTTAGAGTGTTTCTTCATCAGTAATATGAAGAAAATTTGGAGAAGCCAACCTTGTTCTATAAATCAATAAATAATTCTACAGAAAAGCACTTGGTAATATCTTTACATCTTCCTCTCTAGATTCCTTGAGTCAAATGACAAGAAAACACTTAGGTATCATTAACTCATTGTAAAAAAAAAAGTAAAAGCAAGTTCCAAGGTCCCTGCTAAGATCTGTGTGTTCAGTTCAGGATTTTATTAACATATACAGTGCATAATGTTCATAGTGGTTATTCATTGAAGGGCCTTAGATCATCACAAAAAATGTAATACACTTTTCAAAGGCATCAGCTGAGGAATCAAGTCAGAAATTTCCATTGTAATGATTAAACTGAACAATTCTCTTATCAAAAGACTTTCGTCTCCTATGCATGCCAAATAACTGAGTACTCTCTGAGCCATCCAGCGGTCAGTTAGCCAAGTAGCATTTTCACCCATTAATATTAGTCCAAAAAAAGTGAGAATCAAAAGAGAAGTCAAGGAATATCATAAAATAGCTATGATCGCAATGGCAAACATCAAAATTTTTACCAACATTTATCAGTGAGAACGTTTTATACATTATACATTAGCATTCTATTCATCTGTGAAAAAAAAAAAACCTTTTTGATATCTGTAGGTCCTCAGAACCCTTTAAGAATTAAAGAGGTTTCAACTGCCAGCAGATTCTACATTGGGCATATTCTTTAAGACATTGCTGATCTCACGAGAGATAGAGAAAACTCTCCAAAACAACATCTCTGAAACAAAATGAAACAAACCCTCAGTTCTGCGCTGTGAGCTGCAGGCACACTTAGCGGGTCAGGGTTTTCCCCATGATAGATGCCCAGAGAGGTACAGGGGTGAGCATTACCCCAAAGGCAGATGCCTATAGCAGTTTTCTGAGCAATCTGTGAGAAGGAGCTAGGTGTAGGGCTTCTGAATCAAGCCAGGATTCTCAAGAGTGTCTGAAATAGTAATAAGTCAGTAGCACCCCTGGCTACTGAATTCCTAATTTAGACCCTGTGGGAGTCCCCCAGTTTAAGGTCAAGAAATGAGTTCCAAATAATTATCAGTAAGCATGTGAGAAGGTAATCACCTTGAATGACATTCATCAAAAACAGAAAGAGGGATACAGACTCCCCACTCATCCCCTACCCTTGGAAAGCAGAAATTGGGATTGTCGGATACAGAATATAAAACAGCTGTTCTGAATTATTTAAAGAAAGAGGGCATAGGCTTGCAATAATAAACTATTAGGAATGACCAGGGTGATTTGAAAACCAAGTGAAAAAAGCCAAGTGAAGCTTCTAAAGTTAAAAAATAGAATTATTGAAATAAAAATTCATTGAAAGGGTTAGATAGCTTACTGGACACAACAGAAGAAAAACCTGAAACCAAAAGACATATGCAAAGAAATTGCCAAGAATGAACCAACAGTGTCTTAAAGAATATGTCCTATCCAGGATCTGCTGTAATTTGAAAGCTTTTAGTTCTTGAAGAGTTTGTAGGATCTTCGACTATTAAAAAGGTATGTCTTCTTCACTGATCAATAGAAGAGTAAAGTGCAGGAACTGTTCTTACTAATGAACTTTGGTGAGAACTGTTTGTTTTTGCTTTTGCCAGTGTAATCATATATTTTCATGTTATTTTGCTTCTGTTCTGATTTGTTGACAATATTAGTGAATAAGTAGTGAGAAGAAGATGGAAAACATAAAAAGAGACGTTCAGAAATGTGAAGGCTAGAATAAGAAAGTCTACTACTATCTAACTGGAGTCCAGTACTGATGAACTGATGAAGCCAAAGCTGTGAGGCAGAAACAACACATCCAAGAAGATAAATGAAAAGAAATTCATGCCCAGACACACTACAGTAAATCTGCTAAATACTAAAGACAAATAGAGAGTATAAAAGCAACCAAAGAAGAATGGTAGATCACCTTAGAAGTAAATTGAGAAGAGCCTTCTCAACAGGAAAGTAACAGCAGAAGGATACTAGAATTCAAAGTATTTAGAGAAAATAACTGAGTACTCAGTAATCTCTCAAGAAAGAGAGTGAGCCGTGCATAGTGGCACATGTCTGTGATCCCAGTCCTTTGGAAGGCCAAGGTGGCTGGATCACTTGAGGCCAGGAGTTCAAGACTAGCCTGGCCAACATGGTGAAACCCCATCTCTACTAAAAATACAAAAAAAAAAAATTAGCCAGATGTGGTTGTGCATGCTTGTAATCCCAGCTACCCGGAAGGCTGAGGCCCAAGAATCGCTTGAACCCGGGAGGCGGAGGTTGTAGTGAGCCTCTAATAGCACCACTGCACTCCAGCCTGAGCAACAGAGTGACACTTTGTCTCAAAACAAAAATGAATGAGAGTGAAATGAAAATGTCTATGGGTTGAAAAAACAAAAACACTGAAAAAAGTACATTTCAAGGATGGTAAGCCAAACAGAGGAGAAGATATTTAAACATCTGTAACAGACAACAGATGATTATCTATCCATATTTTTTTAAATGTCTAAAATTCAATTTTATGGAAAAGACAGAAACTCAAGAGTGAAAAGCCAGGGACATACAAATGGAGATTTACATTCAATTTTATACATTTTAGACTGTCAAAAATTAAGTAGTCTGACAACACCAGATGTGGAAGAAACTAGAACTTTCATAAAGCACTTGTGGGAGTGTAAATTGATAGCCACTTTGGAAAACAATTTGGCATTATCTTTTAAAATTTAATATTTACAGATTATACAATCCAGAAATGCCACTCCTAGGTAGCTCATACATATACATCTTAAAATATTTACAGGAATATTTAGAGAAACACTTCTTATAGTAGCAAAAAATTGATGACATTTCGAAGGTCTGTCTGCATACAAATAGGTTAATAAATTATAATATAGTCATACAATGGAATATTATATAATTATGAAAATGAATAAATTCATAGTCTTTCACCAAAAAGAACGTAAATTTTAGAAACGTAATACCAAATTTTAATACTGTCCCCAAAACTACATATAGTATAATATCACTTAAAGCCTCAAAACAAGCAAAATTAAACAGTATATTATTTTGTTTTACATAGCAGGTGATAAAAAGGTATTTTCTTACCTTTTTTTTTTGAGACAGAGTCTCCCTCTGTTGCCCAGACTGGAGTGCAGTGGCACGATCATGGCTTGGCTTACTGCAGCTTTGACCTTCTGGGCTCGGGTGATCCTTCCATCTCAGCCTCCAGAGTAGTAGCTGGGACTACAGGTGCCTGCCACCACACCTGGCTAGTTTTTTGTATTTTTTTTTTATAGCGACAGGGTTTCACCTTGTTTGCCCAGGCTAGTCTAGAACTCCTGGACTCAAGCAATCCATCTGCCTTAGTCTGTCAAAATGTTGGGATCAAAGGTGTGAGCCACTGCACCCAGATTGTATTTCTTAAAGATCAAGGAAACAATAAACACAAAATTGTGAATAATGATTACTTTGTCAAGCCTGTTGCCTTTGTAACATCTCAGTCACAGTTTGGAGTCACAAACTACCAGAGATGGAAGTGCTTTCTCATTTTACAGTTGAAAAAGGTGAGGCCCGGAAAGGAAGTTATGTGACATCTGTATTAATTTCACAAATTTTAACGAAGCACTGTCATAGGCATTTGGATTCCATCCAAGGGTATAAGAGACTATTCCTGCCCCTGAGGAGCTCATAATTTTAATTGAGCAGTAAGGGAGAGGCAGAAAATAAACACTTAAACAATAATAAGTAAACCCTGTGGTATGTTAGAAAGTTGTAAGTGCTATTGGAAAGAAGAAAAACGAGAACAGAGTAAAGAGGATCAAGAGTTCCAGAAGAGAGGTGTGGGAAAGGCCACAGTATTAAATAGGTTGGCCTAGCTCCATTGAGAAGGTGAGATGCAAAACTTGAAGGCGATGAAGGAAAATAGGCAGGTGTGTATTTAGAGAAAGCTTTCCACTTGAGGAAAGAAGGAGGTCAAGAGTGATTTCTAGGATTTTGGCTTGAGAAACTGGGAGGATGGAGTTGCATCTGTTGAGATGGAGAAAGCCGCAAATGAAGTGAGTTTGTAGAGGAGAGTTAGGACTTCAATTTGGACAGGCTAGCTTAGAGATGGCAATTAATTATTTAAGTGAAGCTGTCAAGTAATTGGTAGAACATACTCATCCAGAGTTCAAAATGGAATTTGGTGAAAGTCAAATGCATGTCAGTGACCAAAGCAATACTCATGCAGTGCTTTTTGCACCAAACAGGGCCAGATAAGTTTGAAATAATTAGCAATTAAGTTTTATGAAGATGAACACAACAGAAATGAATAGGAATATGAAGAACCAAAAAAATGAGGTCAGAAAATGTGTCCAATTTGGTTTTTTTCCAGCACTTTCCTAAAGATATAAATATAGCAGAATATTCAGTTGGCTTCAAATTGACATATTTGCCACTTTGAGATAGCAGTCGATTTTGTGAGGATTTATCTGATTACTTGTCATGTCATTTCCCATAGTCTCTTTCTGTCTGTAAGCCACAACAATGATGGGGCACACTTTAAACAACATAAATAGTGAAACAAATTCTGCAGGAAATTATGCAACATAGAGAATTCCAAAAAATATTATCCACATGTGGATTTTTATTGGCCCTGATCATGTTTTAGAATGAAATGATTATAACTTTGCCAGACTGCTTAGCACAGTTACAAAGGCTGGGGCATGCTGTTTGAATGATTTGCAGAGAGACTGAACTGATTACATGGTGTTTTATTTGCATTACATTAAATCCAGAGCACTTTTTAGAGCATGCTGAAAACCAAATGTAGAACCAAGATCGAATGAAAGCCATCAGCTGGATGTGGTCAGTGTTTAAGAGCTAAAAAATAAAATAAAATAAAGGACCTGGAGAGTCTCTGGTTCTTTATTTTGTAGTAAAGAAAATTTAGTTCCAGAGAGGTTAAGTGACTTGTCTAAAGTCACCAGTAACAGAATGTGTCAAGAACCTGCCTTTTCTGATTCCTAGGCCAGTATTCCTTTAGCCATAGGTTTCTGCTTCCATGTTTGACAAAGACTTAAAATTTGCTTCTTTTTTTTAAATATCCCTTTGCAGGGTTTCTTCCGGAGGACAATCAGATTGAAGCTTATCTATGACAGGTGTGATCTTAACTGTCGGATCCACAAAAAAAGTAGAAATAAATGTCAGTACTGTCGGTTTCAGAAATGCCTTGCAGTAGGGATGTCTCATAATGGTAAGTAAACAGTCATCACTATATACTTTATTATTGTCATTATAGCTGCCAGATCAGTGGACACTAAGACCGTTGCCAAAAGTGTGTACAGTTTTTCAACCAGATGCCAGAATTTAGAATACTGCATGCTGATAAAACATTCCTCATTTAGGTCAGTGTTTATAAGGCTTTTACTATAGAACCCTTCTCTCTGTGGTTGGACATCAGCCATGAGGAGAGAAGAGATCTGAAAATCTGGGGATGATGGGAAAAACTTTAGTGTTTTAGAATAAACATAATGATCATTGTGATTAATTTTTATATTGCTTCAATGCATTGAAAACAGAATTACATTTTACTTATGTGTATCAGTAGTGTCTTCTACTTTAAATTAAGAAAATCCTGAAGGTGTCTGCATCTGGAACTTTAAGTGGCATGTGAGAATTTAGACTCATTCATTTTTTTTTTTGCTCTTTATTATGCAAAGAGGAACGTTCCTTTCCTTCACTTCAAGAAACATCCATGAGTTGTGGAAAGGGTAAAACAGATTATTTTTAAAGTTCTTATGTTTCTGTGGCATTAAATCTTCAATGCCATAGAAACATAAGAGAATAAAACTTTCTCCTTTTGAAACCTGTATCGAAAGTTAAGCTTATGACTTTGGGTGTCAACTTAAGGGAAATCATATAAAAGACCTGAGAAAAGTCCTATGTTTTCATGATCTGTGGAATTAACTCAGTAAAGTCCTAGAAGACAACATGGTTGAAAAAATAACTCTTGATCACCATTTGGTTCTGATTGGTTGCCTGGCTGACAAAATAAATTTTAGGTGTAACTTGATAGTATTATATTTGTCAAGTATTAATCAGTTATTTCAATGCACTCAAGAAATAAAAAATGCCAACATGATCAAATTAAAGTTGAAGTTTCATTTCATCAGCTATCCTATTTTTTCTTTTTTTTGCTTTCATCTCTCTCAAAACTGATCTAGTAATAAGATAATCTCTGAAGTCAGTCTTCATCTATATGGACTCTAAAGCATCTGAGAAAATTACATTTTTATTCTATCATGTAGATGTTTGGTTTTCACAGTGGAAACCATCAAGATATTTGAGAATCACTCACTGATTAGTAACCTACCCTTTAAAAATAGTTCATTACTATGGGTCAGTTCCTCTTAACGGCAAGAATGTATTTTGAATAGAGCTATCAACAGTACTGAACAAGATGGAAATTTGGTCCAACTTTCCTCAACAATTGACTACATCTGCTATATACAACTGCAGTCATGGATTGCAAAATAATTTGCTGGTTCAGTTCCATCAGTTTCCTTTTATTTCAGACCTCATAAAACATAAGTGCAAGTTTCCAAGTCAAGAGTTATATTTTAGGTGATGCAATCAAGTTGCAATAAACTTATTTCATCTTTATGAAGAAATCATTGACTTTGAGGTCATTATCACTGAGACAGCCTAGGAAAGCATGCCAGTTCCGCTTTTAACACTGGTTTTTGCCTATTAAAAATGTATCATTTCACACATTCATGTAAAATATAATTCCTGTTACTTATTGGCAGTGCATACATTGATGTAAAATATATTTTCTGTTGCTTACAAGCATTGTATATGTTTACATAAAATCAATATCCAATTGTGTATTGCTTATAGGCAAATATTATTTAAAGCCTAACCTTTGCAGTATGGGTGGTATAATTTTCTCCTCCCATAAAAATCAAAGAAAGCTATCATAAACTTGGTAGGTCATCTTGTGACTTCATACGACTATTTGTTTTATTTCTAGAGAGGGTCAATCTTGTTAAGGAGTGTTCAGTTAGTTCTAGTGAAAGCAAGAAAATGCGGGAATTAAGTGTCATGACATCAGAGATTTAGGTAGTTCAACACTTTAAAAATTGCAAACATGACTAAGAAAACCTCAGAGGTTTTTTGGGAGTTTGTTTGCTGCAAAGAAAAGAAAACATCTGACTAACAACAAGGTTTTGATTAGTTTTGCCTGTTCGCTGGATGAAGAAAACATTTCTAAATACAAAGTTTTCTAGGAAGTTGAGTCACTATTTAAAATCCATTGCTTTGACCAATCTGAAGCCAACAGGGTTTTCATTCATATAGAATGCCTTTTTAAGTTATCAAAAGAGGCTCCGAGTATTATACAAAAATGAGCACCCAGCTGTTTTCAGTATGCGCAAGAAAACATGAATGTCCCCCAAAGGAAATGTACTCCATTCTCTGTTAACTTTATTTCTGTTCTCTGATCTCTGATTAGTCTGGTTGATGAATATAGCTTCCCCTTTGGCCATGCACTCACAGCTTTGAAGGAGGCTTCTGAAGGAACCCGTAGGGAACCCTATGGGCTCTTGATAATATTGTTGGATAGTCACTGAAATCAGTGATCACTATGTCCTTGCACTTTTGAAAACTCTATGATTTCGTGTAATGCAACGGCCTAACTCACTGGATTTTTCACTTTTAGTCAGCTATTCTCTGTCTTATGGTGTTCCAGCCTTCTCAAATATGTAGGCATTTGGCATGTCAATTGCCTGAATTTAAAAGTTTTCACCTATATGTTTTGGTGCCATAAAAATAAAAATATAATTTATATACCCGAATCAGGTCTATGTGTTCGGATCAGTTGCTCAGCAGTTTCGGGCAGTTGGTTTGATGGTTATGTGGTAATGTAGCCCAGAGAAGAAATCCAGAGCCTCTGGGCTAGAGAAAGTATAAATGGCATATTAGGCTTTGTAGGGTTACAGTTCTTCAGAAGGAACTTTCATTTTCATTGCGACACATCACCTACATGTTGTAGAAGAACATCATTTCAGAATTCTTCCAGTTAGAAACATAGTTTCTCAAATATTCACTTTCAGCATTGGATAGAAAAAGTACCCAGGTTGATTGATATGCTTTGGAAATATGGTTCTTTTCCTGCAAGTAATGAAAATAAACATACCTTCTTAATTATTTTGGTCATTTAACAATCCATCATTTCTAGACCATGGGTTAATTCCACCAGTTGCTCAGAAGCCTTCCTGAGTCATCTCAAGCACAATCAATTCAGTACTGTGTCTAGACACTGCCCTTAAAGGAAAGCTCAAAATGAAAATGAAGCAGAAATACAGACCTGCTTCCTAGGTCACTCAGAGGTTCATGTACCTTACTAAGTGATATTGTATCAACTACTGTTTGTTAGTGAAGCTGGTGTCTGCAAAATCTTGATAAAAAGACTCATGAATAATGTTGCTTCTTGAGTCAGATGGGTTCTTGCATGCATTTTTATAGTTTTTCAAAGTAGTCTTTTTTTTTTTTTTTTTTGAGACGAAGTCTCTCTCTGTTGCCAGGCTAGAGTGTAGTGCAATCTCGGCTCACTGTAACCTCTGACTCCCTGGTTTGAGCAATTCTCCTGCCTCAGACTCCCAAGTAGCTGGGATTACAGGCACACGCCATCATGCCCAGCTAATTTTTTGTATTTTTAGTAGAGACGGGGTTTCACCATGTTGGATGGTCTCGATCTCCTGACCTCGTGATCCACCCTCCTTGGGCTCCTTAAGTGCTGAGATTACAGGCATGAGCCACTGCGCCTGGTGTCATTTTTGTTTTAAAGTCTTGCTGTCAAGTCCTTGATAGTAATCACATTTTAAAAATATGTCTTCTTTATTTTTATTTTATTATTATTATTATTTGAGACTGAGTCTCACTCTGTTGCCCAGGTTGGAGTGCAATGGCACAATCTTGGCTCACTGCAACCTCTGCCTCCCAGGTTCAAAAGATTCTCCTGCCTCTCAGCCTCCTGAGTAGCTGGGACTACAGCCTGCCACCATGCCCAGCTAATTTTTGTATTTTTAGTAGAGACAGGGTTTTATCATGTTGGCCAGTCTGGTCTTGAACTTCTGACCTCAGGTGATCCATCCACCTTGGACTCCCAAAGTGCTAGGATTACAGGTCTGAGCCACCATGCCGGCCTTGTCCTCTTTATTTTTAATAAAATTATTTAGTCATTAAGAATTTTGACTAGTGGGCCAGGCATGGTGGCTCATGCGTATAATCCCAGCACTTTGGGAAGCTGAAGTCAGAGGACCACTTGAGCTTAGGAGTTCCAGACCAGCCTGGGCAACATGGCGAGACTCCATCTGTACTAAAAATACAAAAAATTAGTTGGGCGTGCTGGCAGACGCCTGTGAGACCAGCTACTCGAGAGGCTGGAGTGGGTAAATCGCTTTAGCCCAGGGTGCAGAGGTTGCAGTGAGCCATGATGATACCACTGCACTCCAGCTGGGTCACAGAGCGAGACCCTGTCTCAGAAAAAAGAAAAAAAAAAAAGAATTTTGACTAGTGAATAATTCATATTCAGAGCTACTTTTAATGTATGAACTAAATAATAAAATAGTAAGTTTATGCTAAGTGCATTTTTTATTTTTAAAATTTTATGTATTTATTATTACTATTTTTTTTTTAGAGATGGAGTCTCACTATGTTGCTTAGGCTGGGCTTACCTCAGCATCTGGAGTTGCTGAAACTATAGGCATGTGGCACTGTACCTAAGCTATTTAAGAAAATAACCTAGAGAAGAATAGACATGTTATTTATGAGCCATTCAGTTAGGTTTTCTCTGTAACATTGAGATTTGGTTAAAAATGTTTTTCATAAATTTAAAAACTAGTGAAATCTTAGCTTTGCTGACTAGGATATCTTATGATATAAATGAAAGGGAGTTTTAAATTTTTTTGGAAAACCCGACAACTTTAAAAATAAATTCTCAGTGGCTTCAAAAATCCAAAAAAATGATTTCACAAATTTTTGCGACACTCAACATTTTTAAGGTAGTTCTCTCAATGTCTTGCAAACAGCAGCTCTAGTGTGTATTGAGAAAAAGGGAAAAAGTCTGAATGGCAGATAGACTCAACTTTATTCCTTTTTTCCTTTAGTCTTCTTTGTTGTTTAAAGAAAAATTACCCAAATGTTACCTTTAAGAAAAGGTAACAAAGTCCTAATGCATGTGGCAGTACGTGG